TTTTCTCTACTGCCAGTCATAAGGGAAATGACACCTTTGGGTAGAGATTCACAAGTTTTTGAGGAATGTTGACTTCTATCTACCTTCCAGAAATCCTGCTAAAGTCCAGGTTGAGCCCATTTCCAGATATCTGGGCCTGCAGTTGGAGTTTTGGGAATTGCAGTTTTCTTTGGACATAACAGGCATCAATGAATTTTAGTGGATTTTGCAAGTCACAAATCAGCCTTGTTGAGGTTCACATATTCAAACTGCTCAAACACAAGTAAAAACACCCCCAATGTGCCATATTGTCCTTAACATCCATAGAGTTCGAGTGTGGTTGCTTACCTGTATTTCCTTTTCCTTTAATTTGATGCTACAAGCTGCAAAAATATACAAAGGAGGATTTCAGCTGATGATGACAAAGCTAATACCTGGAAGAAGCCAAGGGCCTTCGAGAGGCTCAAGGAGCCATGGTAATATTTGGCTTTTGATTATCAGCCTTTTCCTGCTATGAGTTTCTTGTGTGCTATTGTAGCTTTTCCATCATTTATTGGGCACCATTTCCCCTCTACTAAAGGAATGTTTAGATAACCTCATGCACTGACAGCTATGCACAGCCAGAACCCCAGTTTAAGCCTCCCTGTAATTATCATCACTGGCAACATCTGGCCAGGTCCATCCCCAGATGGAGGAAAGTACCTTATCAGAGATACCTCTTTACTCTCTATGAATAGACTTAAGCATCCAGACTACCCATATGTGAAGGCCTGGCAGATGTGCCAATTAAGCTTACCTTCCTCCTTTCCCAAAACTTACCTCTAATTCCAGATCTCCCTTTTACTATCACCAGAGGAATCATAGGTTTCCTAGCAACCAAGCACACTTTGCCCTGCCCTGCAGAAAAAGACAGCAGATAGCTTGGACAGATAGGAGCCACAGGAAAAAAAGAAGACAGTTTTATTTTCTCCCATTGACCTAGCAACTTATAGATTCTTTACATTTTCTACCAATCATGTTTAAGATTATAGTTGAGCACATTAAATCCCTCTTCTTAGATGTTACCTGAATTAAGCCCTTAGTTAATTCATTTCCCCATTAGTCACTTTCTTTTTGGGTTGCAAATGATTATTAACAATTACTGCCCCTCTATGTGATTCTTATCACCCCTCCATTTGACCCTGGAAGCCTGGCTTTGCAGTGCCAAAAGATTACTGCCTGTAAGTGTATATATACTGGGACTCTCAGGGCACAGGAGTATCAAGGAGAAGATATGGATGAATAAAAGACTGGACTAAGAGCTCTGTGTGTTGCGATTCTGTTTTCAAAAATAACCCTTGCCATTCATAGTTCTCTCTCCTGAGCCCCTGGGGTATATAATATTAAGGCTGGTCCCTCTAATGTTATACAAGAAATTTTATGACATCCCATCCCCAGCACACATTAACTGCACAAAATCCCTCACTGAAGGGTGGGGCTTATGAGTTCCTCACTGTGTATGAAGGTGTCCTGGACACACTTTTACAGTAATCATCTACAACCTCTGCCTCTGTCTTCCAAAGCCTTGGAGGGAGTGATTCAGACATCCTGTTGAGGTCTGAGCAATTCATAGTTATGCATTCTCTAAAGTTTGACCAGGTGTGAGCCTGCGCATTCACCACAGCCCATTGCATAAATAAATTTCCCTGATGAGGGATGATAGTTGCCCTAATGGACAGGTACAAGCCTGAATATTTAGAAGGCAGCTTGATGCCATGTAGTTTTGACAAAACAATGGAGCCTATTGTGTGGAATCAACACATCAGCCATTAACTCAGAGTCACAATACTACATCAGGGCTGCATTAAGGAAAGAAATAAAAGCACTTCTACTTGGAGTCCTTCAACCAAGAGCAAGTCCAGGTTTGGATTTTCTACTTCATGCTCCCTGTCTTCTCCTATCTGTCTGGTGCATGACTCTGAGTCTGTGCCTGTGTGAAGAAATCTGTCTGTCCCTGTCTCTGTTTTTTTTTTTTTAATCTGAGTCTGTGCCTGCCCTGTGTCTGTGTCCATCTGTCCCTGTGGCTGTCCCTGTGTGTGAATGTGAGTGCCCCTTTTGTTGTGCTCTCTTTTATTGACTTCCCAGGAAGAATCACATTGGGAAGGAGTGGGATACTTTACAGAAATCATGGAGTCTTACAAGGGATTAAGCCAATAACTTCAACTGACAGCAACTCACCCAGACAACAAGCAGTATTTTAAACTCCAATGTTTACCCAGCAATGCTGCTGTGTTCAATAGTTTGGGTGGATATTCATTGAAGAAGAGTGTTTTCAATCTCTATGTTTGCTATATCCTGCAAATGATACACATGAATTGTTCTGGATCAGGCCATAGAAGAGAACATAATAAGATTGCAGTTAAGTATTAGTTTAGGTTGTAAAAGTTGATTATGTGGGAAGTCCAAGGAAAGTAATGGTGATTGTTACATTGTTCTCTTTATAGTGGGTTTAACAATCAGTTTGTGTACAAAGTAGGGCTCACAGTCAGTGGGAGGTGTGGGTGAAGAAGCATCTGGTTTACTGCCATTCTGGAGCCCCCAGGCATCTGTTTCTTGAGGGAGGAGAGAAGGCAAGTTGCAAGGAAAAAATAGATTATTAACACCTGCACTGTGACTGCCAGAAAAAATGCTGGTTGTACCGACAAAGTTAAATGCACACGGCAGAAGAACAGATACACCCTTCATTTGGACATCTTGGGAAACTGGAGGGTGGAGAGTCCCAGCTGCTAAACAGACCATGTATCCTGCATAGTTGGCCGCTTGAGCCTGCAGAGATGGTACCAGCTTTGTTGTCCTAGGAGCCTGACAGTCAAAGGGATGCTGAGGATCACAGTGTAGGATTTTGTCCACCTGGTCTCAAGAGACTTAAGTGCTAGGAGTTTGAGGAGTACTTGGTTCCCCCAGGGAGCATGGGGCAGGCTCAGGGGCAGTTAGATCTATTGGTATGGGGGCAAGGAGATAGCTACCAGCATGTGAATGGGAAGGGACCTTTGAAGCGCAAGGTAGGGGAGGTACTCAGCCAGTGAAAGAGTTTGGGTTGGAAGGTAGGTGACTGAGGAGGAAGGACCTTCCATAAAAGGAGCTCAGAAGGGCTTAGGCCTGTAGCAGAGCATGGATTGGCTCAGAGGCAGGTAAAGGCAATGAGGAGATGCCCTTGGCCAAGCCAAGATAACCTGAGTCCAATGGGGAGCTTGGTGAGGGGTTATTTGATGAATCCGTTGGCCCTCTCAACATTTCCTGAGGATTGTGGATAATAGGGGATGTGGAGTTTCCAGGAAATGTTGAGAGCTTACAACATGAGCTCCATGACCCTGGAATGGAAGGCTGGCCTATTGTCCATTTATATGGTCTTGGCAGGACAAATCAAGGAATGATGTGTTCCAGGAGTACTTGAGCCACCCCATCTGCTGTTTCCCTGGATGTGGAGAAGGCTTCTATCCATTCTGTGAAGGTCTCAACAAGAGTCAGGAGGTAATGGCGTTTGGCTGAAATCAATCTGCCAGTTGTTACTTCATTGGTGTCCTCAAAGTTGCTATAGACAATGATATATCTGGAAGCCCCCTGCAGGTTGGCCTTGCCACAAGTATGGCAGGAGGAATGAACCTGTGAAATACAACCTTAAAGATGGGTGAAGTCAAAGAGGGGCTCTAAGAAATGGAACAAAGTTTTGGGACCTACATATAAAGTCTGGTGAATGTCTGAAATGATGGACAGTGCCAGCTTGTGAGGGAGGATGAGGCAGTTATTGAAGTAAAACCATCCATCCTTTGTCTGCATGACCCCAATTTTCAGGAGTTTGTCAGTCTCCTCTGGTTGATAACAGGGCTGGTAGGAGGGTACCAAGAACAAAATATATTCTGTTGATCCAGAGGCGCTGGAGGCCTGTCGGTGGGCTACTGAGTTTACCTTGGCATTGACTAAGGCCTCTGGGTCCTTAGAGAACTGGTTTCCCCTGGAGTGAATTATGGCTACTTGTCCAGTGAGCTGGAGGGCCTCCAGTAGCTTGGCAATAGGGGGACCATTAACTATGGGAGTGCCCTTGGTAGTGAGGAAGTCCCTTTCCCTCCAAAGGACAGATGGGTATGGGCTATTAAAAAGGCCTATTTAGAGTCAGTATATATGTTAGCCCATTGACCCTTGGCTTCTTGGAGTGCTCT